TGTTGTTAGCTCCCATGTTGATTCTGAGAACTGAACCCGGGTTCTCTGCCTGTGTGCTGAACCACTGAGCCATGTCTCCAAACCCTGAATAGCATTTTTTTTTTTTTGTCTTTTTGAGACAGGGTCTCCCAGCTGGTCTGGAACTCACTATATAGACCAGGCTGGCCTTAAACTCACAGAGATCCACCTGCCTCTGCCTCCCAAGTGCTGGGATTAAAGGGATTAAAAGACTTGGAAGGCCAGGTGTTGTGACATATGCCTGTAATCCCAGTATTTGGGAGGCAGAGGCAGGAGGATCTCTGTGAGTTGGAGGCCAGCCTGTCTATATAGTGAGTTCCAAGTCAGTCTGGGCTACATAATGAGACCTTGTCTCAAAATAAAAAAAAAAAAAAATTTAAAAAAATCAGTCAGGGCTGATGGGGCAGGCTATAATCCCACCTACTCTAGAAGCTCATGCAGGAAGATCATAAGCTCAAAGCCAGCCTGAGCTATACCGAGAGCTCAAGTCCTGTCTGGACAATTTAGTGAAACCTGGTCTGAAACTAAACTGTAAAAAACAAAGGATGAAGACATAGTTTAGCAGTAGAGCACCTACCTAGAATCCCCCAGTGAGGGGCTGGGATGTGGCTCAGTGGTAGAGCTCCTGCCTAGAATCCCCCAGTGAGGGGCGGGGGTGTGGCTCAGTGGTAGAGCATCTGCCTAGAATCCCCCAGTGAGGGGCGGGGGTGTGGCTCAGTGGTAGAGCATCTGCCTAGAATCCCCCAGTGAGGGGCGGGGGTGTGGCTCAGTGGTAGAGCATCTGCCTAGAATCCCCCAGTGAGGGGCGGGGGTGTGGCTCAGTGGTAGAGCATCTGCCTAGAATCCCCCAGTGAGGGGCTGGGGTGTGGCTCAGTGGTAGAGCTCCTGCCTAGAATCCCCCAGGGAGGGGCTGGGGTGTGGCTCAGTGGTAGAACCCCTGCCTAGAATCCCCCAGAGAGGGGTTGGGGGTGTGGGTCAGTGGTAGAGGACCTGTCTAGAATCCCCCAGTAAAGAGCTGGGGGTGTTGTTCAGTGATAGACTCCCCCCACTTAGAATCCCCCAGAGAGGGGCTGGGGGTAGGCTTCAGCAGTTGGGCAATTACCTAGCATACCTGAGGCTCTAGGTTCAATCCCTAGTACCAAAAATAAATAAATAAATAAATATATAATTAGTACTTTCAGATAATAATATCATTCATTACCTATCCTAGAAACTTCTAGAAATCCTAATGGGTCTGAGAGATCTTTCACATTGATATCAGGCAGTAACGAAGGATAAATGGCTTCTTCTCTCATGGGAAATTAATAGCTGTCACATCAGGAACCCAGGTCTAGTGACCCTCATGTGGCTTGGGGCCTGGAGAGGATACTGCTCAGCAGGGGAACACTCTGTTACATACTCCACTCACCCTCCACCTACAAGAGAGACTAGACAGAGACTTCATTTGCTAAACTTTATTTTACAGAGAAACATTTACATTCAGTGATCATTGCACAAATGTGTTCATGCAACAAAGATGTAATGGAGTTGATCATAAAAGGACAAGACTGTTGCTGGTTTCCATCACCTTGTGGGTCCAATTCCTGCCTGCTTCTTTCATACATATAAGGAAAACCTTTAGTCTTCCTTCCTTCCTTCCTTCCTTCCTTCCTTCCTTCCTTCCTTCCTTCCCCCCCACCCCCTCTTTCTGTCTCCTGTTTCTTTACAAGGATTTTGAAATGAATCATCACAAGAAATTTATCTTACGGTTGAATCATTAATATCTAGTAACTATTCACATTTTAAAAATCGGGGGGAAGGTTGTGTCTTTTTTGTTGTTGTTTTGTTTGTTTTTTGAAACAGGGTCTCGTTTTTTGAATCAAGAAAGCTGAAGTCAGAAAGGAGACCACAAAAACACAAGGGTTGAAAACCCAGGACAAAATACCACTGTGCAGCAGGTTAGCAAATGACTTTTCTGTCACACATCTAAAGAGTGGCAGCACAACAGGGGGGTACAAGGTGTTAATGCAAACTCCCTTCCCTTCCAATCTTCCCCATCATAGTCAAAGTTACAAGAAATTTAATTAGAGGGGGTCAGGAAAGTGTTTGCCTTGCAAGGGTAAAGATCTAAGTTGGATCCCCAGAACCTGTAAGGGAAAGAACAGCCAGCGGGGGAAGCACATACTTGGGGGTCAGAGACAGGGGGATCCCTGGGGCTTACTGGCCAGCCAGCCTAGCTTCATTAGTGAGCTCTAGTGAGAGACCCCGTCTCAATAAAAGACAAATGACGTCTCAGTGACACTGAGGTTTTCCTCTGACCTCCACATGTACACACATATACACACATGCACACGGATATATACATGAACACACATGTACACACATATACACATGCACACAGATATATACATGTACACACATATACACACATGCACACGGATATATACATGAACACACATGTACACACATATACACACATGCACATGGATATATACATGAACACACACATGTACACACATATACACACATGCACACGGATATAAACATGAACACACACACAAAAAATACAAATGTATGCAAACACATAGCATAAACAACTAGTTCCAATTAATCTATAAACACAAGGGAAATATTCTGGTAATTTCCAACTGATTATATATTGTGTTAATTTGGATCACAACATAATTGAGTTGCCATTGTTTTATATCTGAAAGTTTTTATTTATTCATTTATGTATTTACTTATTTGAGACAGGGTCTTACTCTGTAGTCTAAGCTGGCCTTGAATCCATGGCAATTCTCCTGCATCAGCCTTCCATGTGCTGGGATTATAGCCATGTTCCACCACACTTGACTGAGATCTTTCACACTTTTTTTTTTTCTGTCTTTTTGAGACAGGGTCTCTCTGTAGCCCCAGCTGTCCTGTAACTCACTATGTAGACCAGGCTGACCTTGAACTTGCAGAGATCCGTCTGCCTCTGCCTCCCCAGTACTGGGATTAAAGGCGTGCGCCACCACGCCTGGCCCTCTTTCACACTTTTAAAAAGAAGATTTATTTATGGGACTGGAGAGATGGCTCAGTAATTAAGAGCACTGGCTGCTCTTGCAGAGGACCTGGATTGGTTTCCTACCACCCACATGGCAGCTAACAATCACCCATAACTCCAGTTCCAGGGACTCCAACACCCTCTTCTGGCCTCTGCAGGCATTGCATGCACATGGTCCACTCAGGCAAAGCTCTCATATACACAAAATAAAAATAAACAAATAAAAATGTCTTTTAAAAAGATTGATTTATTTTATGTGTATGTGTATTTGCCTGTGTGAGTTTATGTGCACCAAGTGAGTGCAGGAATCCTCAGAGACCAAAAGAGGGAAGTGGATCCCCTGGAATCAGATTACAAGTGGTTGTGAACCACCACGTGGGTGCTAGGAACCGAACTTGTGTCCTCTAGAAGAGCAGCATGTGCTCTTAACGGCTGAGCCATCTCTCTGGCCCCTCTTTGACACTTTAAAAAATTATTATGTTTCTTTATTGGGGACAGGGAACATGCTAATGTCATGGTGTGCATGTGGAAGTCAGAGGACAGTTTGTGGGAGTTGGATCTCTCCTTCCACCTTATAGGTCCTGGGAATAGACTTCAAGTAGTCAGGCTTGGTGGCAAGTACCTTTATCCACAGAGCCATCTTTCATACTTTTATTTTTCTCTTTTTGAGACAGAGTCTCCCTGTAGTTCCAGCTGGTCTGGAGCTCACTATGCAGAGCAGGCTGGCCTTGAACTCACAGAGCTCCGCTTGCCTCTGCCTCCCAAGCGCTGGGATTAAAGGCATGCGCTACCACACCAGGCTCTTTCATACTTTTAAATATGAAAAAGTAAGAGTCCCTAGGATATAGCTTAGAAAACACAGGTGGTAAGGATGCTGTTCTCTCTCCTTCCTATGCACACACAGTGGGAGATGGTAGGATGGTCCCATTTAACAGGACTAAATTCAGAGAGCAGAAATTAACCAATTTTTAAAAGACTTTAATAAAAGAGAAGGGGGTGCTAGAGAGATGGCTCAGTGGTTAAGAGCACTGACTGCTCTTGCAGAGGACCCAGGTTTGATTACCAGCACCCACATGGTAGGTAACAATTGTCTGTAACTCTAGTTCAAGGGGATCCAACGCTCACTTCTGATCTTCATGGGCACTGTATGCATGTGGTGCACTTACATGCAGGCAAAACATACACATAAAATGTTAAGAATGAAATAAATAAATAGAATATTTCTTTAATATTTTTAATATTTAAAAAGAAACAGACTTTTCCCTTCTTACTATAATGTGAGAGCATTCTTCAGCCTCAGAGATGGAGGGTCTGGTGTCTTTCTCTACCCACCCTCTCTTCTCCCCCATGGGCTTCCTGAGAGGGTTTTGCCCCATTTGGAACTAAAGTGCCATTTCTATTTCTTTTATTTTTTGGTGGTTCTGGGGATGGAACCCAGAGCCCTGCACATGACACCCCCAGCCCCTCACTGGGGGATTCTAGGCAGGGGCTCTACCACTGAGTCACACCCCAGCCCCTCACTGGGGGATTCTATGCAGGTGTTCTACCACTGAGCCACACCCCAGTCCCTCACTGAGGGATTCTAGGCAGCTGCTCTACCACTGAGCCACACCCCAGCCCTTCACTGGGGGATTCTAGGCAGGAGCTCTACCACTGAGCCACACCCCAGCCCCTCACGGGGGGATTCTAGGCAGGTAGTCTGAGCTATGCTCCCAGCCTGGTCATTTTCTTTTCCTTCCCTTTTTCTTTGTTCCTTTCTTCCTTTGTGTGTGTGTGTCTGTGTGTGTCTGTGTGTCTGTGTGTGTGTGTCTGTGTGTGTCTCTCTCTGTGTGTGTGTGTCTATGTCTGTGTCTGTGTGCCTGTGTGGTGTATGCATGTGAGTCTTTGAGTAAACATATCTCGGGTGTACATGCAGAGTCCAGAGCAAGGCATCTGGGATCTCCCTCTGTTATGTACACCTTTTGTCTTGAGACAGAGTCACCCACTGAACTAGGAGCTTACCTTTTTGGTTAGGCTGGCCGGGATCCACCTGTCACCACCCCCCAGTGCTGATGTTACAAGCTTGGACAGCCATACCAGTCTTTTTATATGAGTTCTAGGGATTCGAATTCAGGCCCTTGTTTTCAGAGCTCTTACCCACTGTGCCATCTCCCAGACCCCATCTTCTTTAACGACTCAAGGATATAGGTAGATATTTGGTTTTTTCCAGAGCTAATTCTGGGGACCTAACTGACTTCTGGTTAGACTACTAGAGGACAGATGTTGAAAAATGAAGGTAGCAAGGAAAGCAGGCCTGCTTCCATCAGGGCCTGACCTACCCTCAGCTCACAGTACAAGAAGCAAGCCACCCTGCTCTTCCAGACCCGTGTGGGCTGAGTCTCCCGAAGAGGAAGCAGGGAGTGCAAGGGAAGGAATGGTGGATGTGGGTGAGCATAACACTGATCCTTCCCATGGGTAAAAGAGATAGAAGTTTCTGGAATTTTACTGTTACTTCTCACCTCATCCATCTTTGAGAGTGAACAGAGGTGAAAAGTAGCCCCAACAGAGGGAAAGGCAGAGAGAGAGAGACCACCCCCTCATCACCAGTTCCACCACCACCACCTAAGACCTTACAGCCTTTACCTGCACAAGTCAGGCCCCGATACACTGGGTTCCCAGACAGTTCAAAGTTGTGTTTTCATTCAACCAAAAGAAAAAGTTTGTTCCTAACTTGAAACTTCCTCCTCGGTCTTCTTTCATCTCTCCAGGTACATGGTTCCCCGAATTAAAGTTTTCTAGAATCTGTGGATAAATCAGAACAGCTCAAGAAGGGAAGCAGGAATCATAATTAGGAGATGCTTACTTTGGGGAACCTTCTGAGTCTGTGAACACCACCACCCCACCCAGATACAAGGAAACATCAGCTTTAGGGTCATGTACCCTAACAAAAAACATAACCTCAAACTATTAAACTGTTTCTGTTGATGTTTGTGGAATTTTTTAAAAATTACATTTACTTTGGGTTTTTGTGATTGTGTGTGTCTGGGTATGGGTGTATGTATCTGTATAAATCTGTGTGTGGAGGTCAGAGGACAACTTGCAGGAGTCAGTTCTCTCCCTCCCCCATTTGGATCCCAGAGATTGAACTCAGATCATCAGGCTTAGCAGAAAGTGCCTTTACACACTGAGCCATCTCACCAGCCTGTTTGTACAGTATTTTGAGACATGGCCTCTTTATTTAGCACAGCCTGGTCTCAAACTCAATCTTCTCACCTCACCCTTCCAAATGCTGGAATTATAGGCATGCCCCACCATGACTAGCTTGAAACCATTAAAGTATTGTGAAAGGGCCAAGGGTGATGGTGCAGGCCTTTAATCCCAGCACTCAGGAGGAGGGGTAGGCAGGTCTCTGTGAGATCAAGGCCAGCCTGGTCTACATAGTGAGTTCCAGGCCAGTTGGGGCTACAGGTGTCATTCACCTCCTCGAACACACGAGTCCTCCTGGTCACTTGCTTGACTACCACACCTGTGGGCTCTTCTGCCCCTCACACCATTCCAGCGCGACTGCCCCACCCTCACCTTAACCAGCTCAGTTTTATATTCACTCACCTTTGGAGACATGAGGGAAGCCTCCTGCCTTGGCCTTCTGAGCCCTGGATACTGAAGCAGGTGCCTCGGCAGGTTGGGGAGCCCTCTGAGCCACCACACCTCTCCGGAATCCAGGCCCTTTCTTTGGAATCACTGGCTTTTTCTTGGTGCCTTCGGAATCAACCAGAACATAAGAGACAGGGCCCAGGCCCACTTTCTTCTTCCTCATGGGGCTGGGGATCCTGTTTGAGATCCAGTCCACGGCCCTCTTCTTTGGGGGGCTTTTGGGACCATCATCTTGGTTTGATATCTCTGGACTTTCAGACCTCTCTCCTGCAAGCCTGGCATCCTGAGGCAGATCCCTGGGAACCTTCCAGGCTCTTTTCTTCTTCCAAGCTGTCTGTTCCTGCTTCACAAAGGGTTTCTTGTTGCTCTTGACAGATTCTGAGATCAACAGGCTTTGAGCCGCAGAAGTGCCAGAATCTTCCAAATAAGTGGTATTCTTCGGACCATCACTTTTGGGTTTCGACCAGCATATTGGTTGCTGCTTAGGATTTTTCCTCTGCTTCCTTCTCCTGGAGCGAATCTTACCTCCAGACCTGCCAACCAGAGGTTTCAGGGGGTCACGGTGGTCTTCTGTTCTGCGCCAACGGTTGCAATCCTCCATCTTCAAGGCAGAGCTCACATCTACACAAAGCCCTGGCTCCTTCTTTATCTTGGTCCTCGCTGAAACCCAACCTGCCATCAACTCGGCCTCAGTGGCCTCCTCAGCTCTGGCTTCCTCCCGACTACGGATCCCAGCGTCCTTGCGGAGGATGATTGGCATGACGGCCCCCAGGAGCATCCCCAAAGATCCTACCCAATTCTGCAAAGACTGGCTTCGATTCTGCAATGCTGGGCGTTGGTTAAGTTGCAGTAAATGTACCACATCTTCCCAGGTGCGCCCTTCCGCATCTAGGAATTCATTCAGGTTTTTCAAAAACTCTGCGTCCTGCGTGGCATCTCTGCAGACCACTCTCCAAACACCGCCCCTTCCCGGGAACTCGCGCGGTATGGAGCTCAGATTCACACCCTCGCTAACCTCAATAAGCGCAGCCTTAACATTTTCATGCCTCAGAAAGATCCTGTTCAGCACACGGTATGTGCCCAGCGGCAAGAGAATAGCATTCAAGGTCTCTTCAATGTCTGCTTGGCCACAGTCCTCCGGAATACCAATGACCAACAAGGACCTGTGGATGTCCACTTCCATCCCTCGGCACCAATCCTCTAGTAGGTTCATGGCCGTGGTCTCTGACATCCTGCTGCTCTGTTCAAAAGACAGAGGGTCTATGAGGATGGGATATGGGAGTGGAGTGGCCCCCAAACATGATGACAAGACAGTGAAGTTAGATGCCCTGAAAGACGGCCATGAGCACAGATCTCCCCCAAGAGCCTCCTCCCCAGCCCCAGGGCCCCAGTGCTCACATGTATCCCGAAATCTGCAATGGACTCTCGCCCCTCCCTGGAGCCTGGTGCGCTGCAGGTCCAGAAGATGATGGACCGGCCACCCCGCTTCTGACAGGTCAGCTAGACCAAGGACAGGCCGCTGGGGTACAGATGCTTCCTAGGCATCGGCTCAGGTCCCAGCGACCCAGGAAACTGCGCCTATGGGCTCCAGGTCAGTCTGCACAGGTCACACACGGCCTTGATCTAGGGAGCTGCGCAGAGCAAGGGGGTTGGGGCTGAAGCGTGCACATGCGCACTTGCTTCGCAACGACGCAAAGTCCTCAGATCTGCATCTCCGGTGGTCTCCATGGCAACCGTCTACTGGTTGCTAAGCATAAAGGTGGCCTGCTGCGTGGGCTCTGCGGTTGAGCTTAAATAGAGAGACGGACAAAAGATGGACATGCAATGGTTCATCTGTACATTGAGAGGAAAAGTCCGCGTCTTTTATTCCCCAGGGCCCCTTAGAGAGCAGCCAGTGCTCATTAACCCCCAGCCATCTCTCCAGCCCATGATAGCCATGATTTAAGAAAACCACTGCAGGGGCTGGAGAGATGGCTCAGCAGTTAAGAGCACTGGCTGCTTTTTCAGAGGACCCAGGCTGGATTCCCAGCACCCACATGGTGACTAACAACCATCTGTAACTCCAGTTCCAGGGAGTCTGACACCCTCTTCTGACCTCTTCGGGCATTGCATGACACAGGCACACTTACACACATATAAGCAATACACTCATACACATAAAATAAAAATAAATAAAAAAATATTTTAAATTAAAAAACTAAAACTACTGCAGAGGGTTGAGGGTGTAGCTCATGTAACTCATGAGGTCCTAGTTCCATCTCCAGCACTACATAAACCTGGCGTGTTCTTACATGACAGTAATCTCAGCATTCGGGAGGTGGAGGCAGAAGGATTGGGAGGTCAAGGTTGAGAATTTGAGGCCACCGTGGGTTGCAGGAGACCCTGACTCAAAAAAGTGCACTGATAATAATAGTACAAATTCATTCTATAATCAATTCATAAATTTCAACATATATAGCACATGAGATTGTGTTGGGGGGGTGCATGTAGGCATGCGCGTGTGTACACTCCTGTGCACATAGAGGTCAGAGATTGATGTTGGGTGTCTTCCTCAATCAGTCTCTACCTTGGAGCTCACTGACTGGCTAAACTGGTTGGCCAGAACGCCTCAGGGATCCTCCTGCCTCTGCCTCTGCCTCTGCCTCTGCCTCTGCCTCTGCTCCCAGGCTGGGATTACAAAAGAGTGAGGACACCACAGTCAGTCTTTTCGTGTGGGCAGTGGGATTCAAACTCAGGTCCTCGTGCCTGTGCAGTAAGCACTTCGCCCATTGAGCCAGCTTTCCAGCCCCAACTCACGAGATTTTCATTTTCTTTTTGGTATTTTTTTTTTAATTTTTTAAATTTTATGTGTATGCGTGTATTGCTTGCATGTAAGTAAATGCTCCCATGTTGTGCAAAGTCCAAGGAGGACAGAAGAGGCCGTCAGATCCCCTGAAACAGACAATTGTTAGCTGCCATGTGGGTGCTGGGATTCAAACCCAGGTCTTCTGCAAGAACAGTCAGTGTTCTTAACCATTGAGCCATCTCTCCAGCCCTGTCTTTTTGGTCTTTTTGAGACAGGGTCTCCCTGTAGCCCCAGCTGGCCTGGAACTCACCAGGTAGACCAGGCTGGCCTCCAACTCACGGAGATCCACCAGCCTCTGCCTCCCAAGTGCTGGGATTAAAGGCGAGCACCACCATGCTTGGCAACACACAAGATTTTAAAGCTGTAGACATATCTAAGGTGTTTGTCTTTATTAGAATATGAGTGTTCACGTATTAATTTGAATAGCACAAAATATGATGGGAACTTGGGCACTCACATTCATAGATTATGCCCATATTTAAGATGACAGTGCAGTAAAGCCTTGCAAAAGCCACTTCTAAAACTGAGCATGGGGCTGGAGTGATGGCTCAGTGGACAAAGGTGATTGATGAGCAAGCCTGGGGACCTGTTTGATTAACCCACATAAAAGTGGAAAGGAGAGAACTTACACCACAAAACTGTCCTCTGACCTCCACCTGCATGTCATGGCATGTTGTGGAATGTACATGTACATCTGAACACACATACATTATGCACATACACACAACAACTACAATAATGGTAAGTTTATTTTTTTAGTATTTTATTTATTTTTATATTTTATTTATTATTTTTTATGTGTATTGCCTGCATGTATGTGAGTACACCCATGTCATGCAATGCCTCGGAGGTCAGAAGAGGGCTTCAGATTACCCTGAAACTGGAGTTAAGGATGGTTCATAGCCACCATATGGGTGCTGGAATCGAACCTGGATCCTCTGCAAGAGCAGTCAGTGCTCTTAGCTGCTGAGCCATCTCTCCAGCCCCCATTTAATTTATTATTTTTATTTTACATGTATGAGTGTATTGCCTGCATTGTGTAACTGCACCTGTGTCATGCAATACCCACAGAGGTCAGAAGAGGGCGTTAGTCACCCTAGAGCTGAAGTTACAGGCAGTTGTTAGCCACCATTGAGTACTGGGAATTGAACCCAGGTCTTCTGTGACAGCAGTCAGTGCTCTTAACCACTGAGCCATCTCACCAGCCCCAATAATGGTAAGTTTAAATTTATTTATTCTTATAAAGAAGAGGGTGTCAGATCCCCTGGAGCTGAAGTTACAGGCAGTTGTGAGCAACCCTGACATGGGTTCTAGGAACCAAGTTCATATTTGCTATAAGAATGGCAAGTGGTCATAACCATCAAGCCATCTCCCCAGCCCCTTCATTTTGTTTTTGAGGTACAGGGAATGAACTCAAGGTCTTACACATACCAGGCAAATTTTCCACCATTAAGCTACATCCCCAGCTCTTTTCATTTATTTTCTTATTTTGAGAACGGTTCTTTCAATAACATTTTTATTTGTATATGCACCCTTGGGTGCTGCCACACAGCAGGAGCCAGCTCTCTCCTTCTACCATGTGGGTTCTGGGGATCAAACACAGGTCATGAAGTTTGGTGGCAGACTCCTCCACCTGCTGAGACACCTTGCCAGCCCCTTGCTCAGTTGGACTTGAACTAACTATGTGGCTCAGGCTGCCTTCAAATTTGCAATCTTTCTATGACCTCAACTTTATAAGTGGTAATGGTTTTCACAAAAGGTGTCAAAGCTTTGCTGGAAGTCACTCAGACACAGAGTACCCATGTGGTTCTCCTCATTTGGGCAATCACCAGCTCTTGAGTAAGACCATGTGCCCCAAGGCCTCCCTCGACAGAGACTGTAATATGTTCATCTCCTAGGAACTTATCAAAACTTAGTCTTCAGGAGATGGCTCAGCAACTGAGATCACTGACTGCTCTTCCAGAAGACCCCAGTTTTAATCCCAGTACCCACATAGTGGCTAACAACTATCTATAACTTCAGTTCCAGGGGATATGACACCCTCTTCTGGCCTCCAGGTGCATTGCACGCACATGATGCACTTACATGCATACCGGCAAAACACTCATATACATAAAATAAATAAAACATATTTTTTTAATTGGGACTGGAGAGATAGCTCAGTGGTTAAGAGCACTGGCTATTCTTGCAGAAGACCTGAGTTCAAGTCCCAGCACCCACACAACCATCCATGACTCCAGTTCCAGGGGACTTGCTGCCTTCTTCTGTCCTCTGCAGGCACTGCACAACACAGGTACACTTATATGCATGTTGGCATAACACTCATACACATAAAATTAAAAATGACTTTTTAAAGTTTTAAAGCTTAGTGTTTGTGGAAGGGGGTTGCACAGCACAGGTCTGTTGAGGTAACCCTTTGCGGCACAGAAGCCTGTGAGTGTGGATCAATAGGGGTTCAATAAGATAATCAGGCCACCACAAGTCACACACAACTTGGAATGTACTGGGCCCATAGAATGGTTCATGAAGTAAGAGTGCTTGCTGCCAAGCCTGATGACCTGAGTTTGATCCCCAGGACACACGTGTGGAAGGAGAGAAGTGATTACTGCAAGTTATCTCACATGTGCACTGTGGTACACACATACACACACTAAATACTTTTTAAAATTTTATTTATTTATTTATTTGTTTGTTTATTTATTTATTTTGGTCTTTTTGAGACAGGATCTCCCTGTAGCCCCAGCTGTCCTGGAACTCACTATGTAGACCAGGCTAACCTTGAACCCACAGAGATCCATCTGCCTCTGCCTCCCTAGTGCTGGGATTAAAGGCATGCGCCACCACGCCCGGCCTTATTTATTATTTTTATTTTATGTGTATGCGTGTATCGCCTGCATGTAGGTAAGTGCACCTGTGTTGTGCAATGCCCAGCGAGGTCAGAAGAGGCTGTCAGATCCCTAGGACTGGAGTTACAGACAGTTGTTAGGTACCATGTGGGTGCTGAGATTCAAACCTGGGTCTTCTGCAAGAACAACCTGTTCTTAAGCACTGAGCCATGTCTCCAGCCCCATAAATAATTTTTTTTAAAAAGAACCTGGAATAGCTGGGCATGGTGGCGCATGCCTTTGATCCCAGCACTTGGGAGGCAGAGGCAGGCAGATCTCTGTGAGTTCAAGGCCAGCCTGGTCTACACAGTGAGTTCCAGGCCAGCTGGGGCTACAGGGAGACCCTGTCTCAAAGAAAGACCCCCCCACAAAAAAAAGAACCTGGAATTTACTGTAGGGAAGGTGACTTAAGCAACTGGGGGAAAATGCACTCTACACCAGGTTGTTGCTTTTCCATCCTGTGTGAGGCCTGAGGTAGCGGTTCATCTGGGTAGACACTTGGAAAGCACAGCTGGATATGAAACAGGGCAGATAAAGACAGTCTGGAACCCATGGGGATGACAGAGGCCCACAGGCCGCCCTGAAGCATGTGCTTTAGCCCCTTGCCACATTGTGGCCCAGGATTCTGGTTCATTCTCAGTTTGTATATCCCTTGTTCAATAATTTATTTTGGCATGGAAGAGAATCATAGACATAGATATTTAGAAATTGTGGGAGGTTGTTAGGTGGTTTAAAATTTTTCACACTTGCCGGGTGTGGTGGCACACACCTTTAATCCCAGCACTTGGGAGGCAAAGGCAGGCGGATCTTTGTGAGTTCAAGGCCAGCCTGGTCTACATAGTGAATTCCAGGACAACTGGGGCTACAGGGAGACCCTGTCTCAAAAAATCCGCCCCCCAAATTTCACACTTATTTATTGGGGGTCACATGGGTGCCTCCATATGTGTGCAGAG